CCCAGTGGTGCAGCTCAAGAAGTCCACATTCTTTAGGAATCAATCTCATCTTGTGGGTTTTTAGAACATTGCTGCTTGAGTTTTTTTTTTCTTTTTTTTTTCCATGTTGTATTTCATTATTAAAGGCAAAACTAACTCAATAGAAATGTCAGTTTGAAGAAAGTTCTAATTGATAGAATGCTGGATGAGAGTGCTCATTTTGTTGAAAATATATAGCCTGGATCATTATTCTTCACTTAGGATCTGTGAGTTTATTATTTTAATATTTTGATAAGTGTATTTCAATAATGGTTTCATTTATTATCCTATATATTTCGTTTTATACGGTTAAAAATATTATTCTGAGAATGGTCCTTAAGTTTCACCAGACTGCCAAAAGAGTATATCACACAAAAAAAGGGTAAGAACTCCTATAAAATTCTGGGACACATTACTAAAGAAATGGCTAGTGATGATCTAGAAAAGCAGCAGTTATCATCAAAAACAGATCTTGATATAATATTTCCTTTTTTGATTGTGTTAATAAGCTGGTAGATTAGGGAAACAGTTTATCTAGATTTTATCAAAACATCTGACAATGTCATGCTTTCTCATGGAAAATATGGTAAGATATAGACATTTAGGTAGATTTAGAACTAGTTGAATGGCTGACCTCAATTAGCAGTTATTAATGGTTCAGTGTACAGTGGAGACCTTCAGAGATTTGTGCATGGCCCTGTGCTATTTCATATTTTTATCAATGACTTGGATGAAGACATAGATGATAGGCTTATTTAATTTTTGAGTAACACAAGATGGGAAGGATAGCTCACGCATTGAATTACAGAGTTAGAACCAAAAAAAGATCTTTACAGCTGGAATATTAGGCTGAATATAAGATAAAACTTAAGATACAAATATAGTCTTATGCTTGGTTTTAAAACATCACTTTCATGAATATAAGATGTAGGAGGTGCAGCTAGATAACAGTTCATCTGAAAAACCTTGGAGGGGGGGCGGCACGGTTAGTGCATTGCAACCTCAATATGAATCAGTAGTCATTGCAGCCAATAAGCATGTTGGGCTTCATTAAAAGAGACATTAATTATGTTGGGGATTAGGAACATGGTGGTCCTATTATATTTTGTCCTGGTCAGACTGTCTGTAGAGTATTGTGTTAAATTCTGGATATAACATTTTAGGAAGGACATTAATAAGTTGGAGAATATCCAGAGGAGTGAGTAGCCTTGAGGTTATGCTACAATGGGAGTGTTCAGCTGGGAGAAGAACATATATACAAGGGGACATGATAGCTATCTTCATATATTTGAAAAACTATCATATGAAAGAGGGTTTAAATTTTGGGTTTTTTTCCTTCTGCTTGTTCACAGAGAGTAGAACTAGGAGCAATGGGTAGAAGTTACCAAGAGACAAATTTGGGCTTCTTATCAGGAAAAAACTTGCCAACAATTAGAACAATCCAAAATTAAAATGGGCTGCCAGAGGAGGTCATGGGTTTTCCTTCATTGGAATCAAGTAAATGATGGATGACCATGTACCACATGCTTGGAAGGAATTCTTTTTCACAAAGGAATTGGATGTCCTTTAAATTCTTTTCTATTCCTCAGGTTCTGTGCATTTTTGTTGTTTGCCTTTTATTCTCTAGGTAATTGGAAGACATTCAAGTTTTTTAAATAAGGTAGTGACATGATCAGACTTGCACATTAGGAAGATTATATTGGCAATGGCATGAAGCATGGTTTGGAAAGGAAAGAAAATATAGGTAAGGAGATTAGTTAGGAAGCTATTACAGTACTCCAATATTTAATAGTCTAAATAGCCTAAACTCTAGTGGTGGCAATGTGAATGGAAAGAAGGGGCATAAATCTGCAAGGGATTATGTAGATAAAATTGAAAGATTTAGGAACTGATGAAATGTGGTGGGGGAGGGGTAGTGTAAAGGAAAGGCAAGAGTCAAGGATGATTGAGGTTTTGAAACCTGGATGATGGTGCCATTGGCAAAAATAGGGAAGTCTGTAGGAAGGGACAGATTTCATTGGGATATATAGTGTGGGGAGTTATAGGTAGTAATTGAAAGTGATAACTGAAGCCATGAGAATGGATTATTAAATCACCAAGGGAGAGAGTCGAGAAAGAGAAGGGATGAGGCTGAGGACAGAATATTGATGGATTTCCTGCACTAGGATGCGAAGATGATGAGCCACTCATTTTTTAAATTATTTTTTATTATGAACTTAACAACAAGCATGAATATTTCAATATACAAAAAAAATTAAAAAGGGATTGCAATTCAACTTCTGTAATGTACAGTTTGATTTTTTTTGTATAATACAAATTTAATATGGTAGTTCCAACATTGCTCTGCTTATCCTTCTGCTCATAATTGAGGTAGCAAGCCATAGTGGGTAAGGCACTGGACTCGCAATTAGAAAGATTTGGATTCAAATCCTGCCTTACACATTTACTAGCTATGTGACCCTAGAAGAGTTAGTTAACCTCCCTCTGCCTCAGTTTCCTCATCTGTAAGATGAGGGAGTTGAACTCAGTGGCTTATATATTACCTTTAAGCTCTAAATCTATTCCTCTAATCTTTTTTTTAACCTTTTGAAAAAACTTAATTTTTTTTTACTTTTTAAGTTCTGAACTGCCTCCCTCCCTCCCTCACTCCACACTAGAGAAGTCTACCATTTCTCTCTCTCCACCAACATTGTATTAGTGTCCCAAGATCCTCTAATCTTATAAGATGAGGCAATCTTAATGGAGAAGGAATAGTCTTATTGGTAGGAGGAAAGTGAAACAGGAGAGGGGAAATGCAGTTAAAGCCAAGGGAAGAGAGAGTATTCAGGAAGAGTGGGTGGTTAGTAGTCTCACATGCTGCAGAGAAGTTAGGGAGAGTGAGGCCTGAAAAAGATCATTCAGTTTGCAACCAAGATGTCATTACTGAAACTGTTTTCTCTACATTTACCAGAGTGGTGGGGTTTGAAGCCAGAATGGAAAGGTTTGAGGAGCAGGCAGTGAGTATGAGTCAACAGTGTGACTTGGAAGCCAAAAAAATGAATACAATCTGAGATTACATTAAGAGACGTAGATCCTTTAGAACATGGTGATAACCTCAATATATTATACCCTAATCAGATTGCATCTGGAGTATTTTTGTTGAGTCCTAGATGTCACGTTTTACAAAGGACTTAGAAAATTGTAATGTGCCCAGAAAAGGATGACCAGAATGGTAGTAGGACTGGAAACTACCATTCCATATGAGGACTGGTTTGAAGGAATTTAAGATATTTAGCCTGAAGAAGAGAAGACTTTGGAAGGGGGAGACATGATAGTGGTCTTTAAGTGTCCAAGAGGGTGTCATGTAGAAGAGAGACAAGACTTATCTTCCCTAGCTTCAGAGGATAGGACTGAGTAATGGGTGAAAGCTACAAAGAATCAAATGGATTCGGTATTGTTAGGCAGACTTAAAGAACATTTAGTTGTCCAAAATCGGAATGGTAATTTGAGGAGGGGGAAAGAATAACTAGAAGGATTAAAGAAAGCTTCATGGAGGAGGTGGCATCTAATCGAAGCCTTAAAGGAAGATAAAGATTCTGAGGGGCATGGATCAGGAATGAGTACATTTTAATCCTGTTCAAATGAATGGAGATGGGAGGTAGAATGTCATGTATGGGGAACAGTGCCGTTCACTTTGGCTGTGGCATAGTGCACCTGAGGGAAAGTCATGTGAAATCAAGCTAGAAAGATAGATTGGTTACAAATTGTAGAAGATCTTAAATGTCAGGTGGAGGAGTTTGTATTTTTTCCTGGGGACAGTAGGGAGCCATATAGTCAGACTTGTGCTTTGACAAGAGGCAGTGTGGCCTAGTGGATTGAGTGGATAACTGGAATCATAGTGAGGAAGACCTGAGTCCAAACCCTACTTCTGACACTTCCCCTTTCTGAGATTCAGTTTCTTCATTGGATTAGATGGCTTTGGAGGCACTTCCACATCTATCTATAGTGCTGTAAGATTATATTGGCAGTTGTATATAGGATGAATTAGAGTGCGGAGAAATTGGAGACAGGGAGACCAGTTGGGGTGCAGTTATAGTAGTCAAGGTACAAAATTATTTGGTATGTGTAGAGAAAAGAAGACAAATGCCAGAGATACCATGGGGTTCGAATTTCTGAGTCAGGCAGCATGTTGTAGTGGATAGAGCATTGCATTTGGAGTCAGGAGGACCTGGGTTCAAATCTTGATTCAGATATTGACTAGCTCTGTGACCCTGGGTAAATACTTAACCTCTCTACTTCCATTTCCTTTTCTGTAAAATAAGAGGATTGCACTCAGTGACCTCTGATCTCCCTTTAAGCTCTAAATCTATGACAATGACTTGGCAACTGATTGAATGTGGGGTATGATGGTGAGAGAACAATCACGGATGATTCTGAAATTATGTTCCTGGGTGAGTGTGGGAGGATGAAAATGCTTTCAATGGGGAAAAAAGGGGAGTTTGGAGGAGAATCTGATGTGAAAGAAGAAATATGATACATTTGTTTTTCCAACTTTTTACAAATAGGATTTCTAATTAGAAATGTTTTAATTTGGTTATAGTAGTTATCAGACTCACTTACCTAGGGGAAGCTGTATTAAATAGGAGTTATTTGAAGATTCATAAAATGAAATGTTTCTTAAATAATATATTTCAAGTAAATGAATAGGTGTATCATGATTGAAATAGTATTTATCTTGAAAGATAACTAAATAGGAATGAGTTATATAGTTGATTTCATTATGAAGAGAAAATGTATGTATAGTATTAACTTAAAAAAAACAACTTTTTTTTTTGAGCAGGTAACAAGTTTATTTGGTGAAAGCAGAGAGCAAATAGACCAAGAGGACATTTGGTGGGAATTGGAAGTAAGGATGTTGGCAACTCTGAAAATGTAGTCAGTTACTTCAGGGGCAAGAGGATGATTTTCACACTGAGAAAGTTAGAGAGCTTTTTGAGTTGTTCTCAGTCATTCAGCCCCATCCGGACTAGCTCTTCATAGTTGATACAACTGTTGCTGTTTTCATGCCCTGCCACCACTTCCACTTCTTCCTCTGTCATTTTCTCACCCAGGGTGATGAGAACGTGTTGTATCTCAGACCCCATGACTGTGCCATTCCCTTCCTTATCAAATACCTGAAGCCCATCTACATAGTCTTCATATGTGCCTTGGTCCTTATTCTTTGCTACAGTCTGCAGCATTGGCAGAAAGTGTTCAAAGTCCAGCACCTTCACATTCATCTCATCACTCTGGGGATTCTCTAATACTTTGAGTACCTCAGCATTGGTAGAGTTCTGGCCCAGGGCTCGCATCGTATCCCGACACTGGCTTTATGAGGTCTTTTCATCCCTTTTTGGTCAAACAGCTGGAAGGCCTCCTTGAGCTCTGCTGTCTGATCCTCCATGAAGTCATACATCTTGGCTGTGCAGCTCGCTCCAAAACCAAAACTTTTAAATAGAGTATGAGAACCCATAGGTCAAATACATGTCTTCTTTTAGACTGCCATTTTAGAGAAAATGTGGGAGTGCATTTGAACCTGGCCCAAGGTAGTTCATAATAAGTATGGCACTGTAGGAAACTTAAATGACAATGCTACAACGGTTAATAATACCTCAACAATTCCCTGAACATATTGGTGTGGATACTTCCTCCATTGGTACAGATGGCAACACATCTTTGCCTGTCTTTCTGTATATCCTCTATAGAAGATCTCTAGATTGAGTCCTCTAGAAACCTTTTTTTTTAAATGTTAAAGATAGCAATGTAACACTTGGGCTGTCCATCTTTTGTCAGTCACGTATGATATATGACCTGACCACTTCTTTTTATAGTTATTCATCTCTAGAATGATATCTTTTAGCCATTCGTTATCTGCAAGTCATCATTGGTATGTGCTGCAATTTATTCATACCTATTACGCATCTTTCCATTACCCTTTGAGTCACCTGGAAATTTGATTCTTATAAGTTGTGGTGTTCCATGATTTCTCGTGTAAGAAGAATGGAAAGGGAGGAAGGAGCTAGATTATGAAGAACTCTGCCAAACAGAACATTTTGCATTTGATCCTCAAGACAATAGGAAGCCGCTTAAGTTTATTGAGTGTGTAGAAGTGAGGTAGGTGGGGTGACATGATCAAACATGTACCATAGCCCTTTGGAGAGATGTTGCAAAGGTGAAACTGACAGACTTTGGCAACAACTTGGATATGAAAGGTGAGGGAGAGTGAAGAATCTATGATGAGGTTTTGAGCATGAAGGCCTGGGAGGATGGTGTTGCCCTCTACAGTAATAGGCAAGGTAGGAGGGGAGGGGAGTGGGATTTAGGGGGAAAGATAATTAGTTTTGTTTTGGACACATTAAGTTGTCTACTGGAGATCCAGTTCAAGATGCCTGAAAGCCAGTTGGAGATGCAAGATTGGAAGTCAGGAGAGTTTTGGGGCAGGATAGGTAACTTTGAAAATCACTAGCATGGAGATGATAACTAAATGTATGAGACTTGATGAGTTTACCAAGTGAAGTAGTATAGAAGGAAAAGAGAAGGGGGCCCAGGGCAGAATACTTACAGTGTAATCTGGAAGTGGATCCATCAGTGGAAATAGAGGAGTGGTCAGATAGGTAAGATGAGAACCAGGAGAGAAAAGTATCTAAAAGGAGAGAGTTTTCAACAGTGTCGAAGGCTGCAGAGAGGTCAAGGAGAATGAAGATTGATAAAAGGCTGTTGGATTCGGCAACTAAGAGATCATTAATAATTCTAGAGAAAGCAGTGTTGGTGGAGTGGTAAGGTCAGAAACTGAGCTGTAAGCAGTTAGGAAGAGAATGGGAGGAGAGAAAGTGGAGGTTTTCATAGATTGCCTTTTTGAGGAGATTAGCAATAAAAGGCAGAAGAGGATGATAACTAGCTGGAGTGGAAGGATCAAGTGGGGATTTTTCAGAATGCTCACTGAAATACCACAGTCTGAGAAATAGGTGTTGATTTTCCTGTTTTAATGATTAAGGTGATTTCTTTTTTTGAAGTCATTGAGGAGTTGTAGGGTAGCAATGTATGGCTGTGAGAAGTGGACTATAAGGAAAGTTGAGTTCCGCAGAATTGACACTTTGGAATTGTGGTGATGGAGAAGACTTTTGAGGGTCCCTTGGACACCAAGGAGATCAAATCAGTCGATGCTTAAAGAAATTAATTTAGGCTATTCAATGGAAGGTCAAATACTAAAACTGAAGCTAAAATACTTTGGCCACGTAATGAGAAGATGGGACTCATTAGAAAAGATCCTAATGTTGGGAAAGATTGAAGGCAAAAGGAAAAAGTAGCAGCAGAAAATGAGATGGATAGATAGTATCATGGACACAATGAACATGAATTTGGACAGGCTTCAAGAGTTGGTGGAGGATAGAAAAGCCTGACATGCTGTGATCCATGGGATCATGAAGAGTCAGACATGACTGAATGACTGAATAACAATGGTTTACTAGGTGGTGATAAACATTACGTTTGTAACATACAGGCAGGACAATCCAGAGAATCCCTGTTCTGTTTCAGCTATGTTTAGGATATCCTCCAGTACACTGAATACTTTTGATGGAGTTTGTTTCCTTGTTTTATGCCTGACCTGATATTGATTCTCATGGGATTATTGACCAAAGTTATCTTCATGATCAAATTTGTCATGAAATCTTTTATGACCTCACTCTTGGTGTGGGAAACACTTTGTTTGAGAACAGTCATAAAATTGCATTTTGTTTTTCCTGGTCAAATTAGTGATTCTTTTTTTTTTTTGTAATTTAAAATTACAGCAAATTCTTATATTTACTATGTTATATAGTCATTTGCAAGACTATATGGATTTGTCTAGAGTCAGCTAAGTGGTAAAATGGATAGAGTGCTAGATTTGAAGTCAGGAAGATAAGCGTTCAAATGTGACTTCATATTCTTACTTAACTGTGTGACTTTGGGCAAGTCACTGCCTAAGTGGCCTAACCTCTGTTTGCCTCAGTTTCCTACTTTGTAAAATGAGGCTAATAATAGCACCTACTTCTCAGAATTGTTGAAATCAAATGTCATAATATATGTAAATGGCTTTGCAAACTTTAAGCACTATGTAAATGACTACTATTCTTATTAAGTGTGTATTATTTTAAAATAGTCACCTGTCCATTACTTTCTTGTTTTCAACAAAGATATCCTTGATACATGCATGGATCATTTTGAAAAAGATTTTATGATGTATCTTTAAAATTGATTCCTGAGAGCTATCAAAATTTTGTTGCCTCCAGTATGGAGGTTTCCTAATATGTTTGGTCATGGCCAACCATTCTTCCTGACTTCATCTTCTTTACTGTCATTGCTATTTACTCCTAGTACACAAGATACAGAGATAGTGGATTCCAAATGTGGTGATTCTTCTATTGTTGCTAATGTTCTGCCATTAAAAAGTCACTGATGCCAGCCATAGAAACACTAGCAAAAAAAAAAATGCCATTCCCCAAAAGATAAATGGTTAAAGGGTAGAACAAACAGTTCTCAAAAGAAAAACCCCACATTATTAACAACCATATTAAAGAATGCTACAAATCACTAATCATAAGAGAAATATGAATCACTATAACCCTGAGGCATTAGACCTCCCACCCAGCAAATTGGCAAAAATGACAAAAAATTTGGAATGGTTATTGGAGGGGTAGTGGGGAAATAGGCACACTAGGGTATTGTTGATGGAATTGTGAATTAGTATGAACTTTTTGAAAAGCAATTTGGAATTATGTAAAAATAGTGACTAAAATGTCTATACTCTTTGACCCAGAGATTTTATCAGAAGGCTTATACTTTAGGCAAGTCATGATAAGAAGGTAGCACCACTTTTTGTGATAGTGAAGAATTGGAAACAAAGTAGATGTCCATTCATTGGAGAATGACTAAAATTGTGGTATAAGAATAAAATGGAATATTCGTATGTTGTAAGAAATGATGAATATGATGAATATTGAGAAGCATGGGAAGACCTAAATGAACAAATGAAGAGTGAAATAAGCAGAACCAAGAAAAAAATAACTGTAACAATGTAAAGGGAAAAAACAGCCACACACACACAAAAGTGAATGTTGCAAAATTACAAAAACAATCATGACTCCAAAGAAGAGGAATGAGAAGGCCATTTTCAGCCCCATCTGCTGAGATGGGAGGTCTGTGAGTTTGGTACATTGTATATGTTTTCAGACTTTTTCAATATATTCATCAGTTATGCTGATTTTTCCCTTTTTTGTCTTTAAAATACTATTTGTTATATGAGATGGCTCTCTGAGAGGGGAAAGAGGGAAAATTGTGGTGATGTAAAAATCAAAGGTCATCAATAAATACTTTTTCTTTTTAAAGAAACTAGCAAATCCATTTCATTTTGCTTGTATTTGTTGTCCTTCCATTTTCAGCTGCAAATGTCCTTGGGATGATCTATTGAATTGAATCTCATGCTAGTTTTTTTGCAGGCTTAATTTCCCCTCAACTGCTTTTTATTAATTTTTGTATGATATTACTTATAATCTTCCATCCTCTTATGTAATGTTTTAAAAATGAGATTGTGCTCCAAACTTGTCACTCTTGGCTGCCTTTTTTCTCTGTTTAGACAAAAGATTGTGTTTCCTAGCTCACAAGGTTTTGGGATTTCTCTCTGGTTCTTCATTGTGGTGATTCCCCCCTCCCCCCCATTAGGTAAGCTTTTCTAGATATGGTAATCAATAGATCTAATGTTTTTGCTTTTGTTCCTCTAATGTTTTATTTTTGTAGTCAACAGCTCAAATAGTCAAATTAGAGTGACTATAATCACATGAAGTGGGGGGGTTAATTTTTCTTCCTTTAGTCTAATATGGTATTTTTACTTTTGTTGGTTGGATAGCAAACTGACAACTGATTCACAATTGTCTATTATTATGAGAGATTTCCTTTTAACATTCCTCACAGATTGCCTGTAGTTGTACTATTAGTATTGATTGAGAAATTTTCATGGTGACAAAACTACTATATATTCTATAACACTTTAAAATGAATTTGTATATTATTAATCACAGCAGCTTCTATGCATGTTGGGAAAATAATACATATGTGAGAGACACAATTTATTCAGTCTTTAAAAGGTATATTTGCTTACTTTTTCTGAGTCACACTGAATATTTTGTTGGTTTGAAATAAAGATTAAAAGACAACATCTAGAGAGCATATGGCTTTGCAGATCTCTTATGTAATTATGTGAAATTTCAGTAACTTTATCCTCCACCTATGGTCCTTGATCCACAGGTTGGGAATCCTTGATGGGGTTAATTTCATTATTTATGATTTTGTTTGATGTTCACCATATCTAGCACCCAACAAATCTCTTTTTAAAGAAAGTATAATATGACAAATTGTTGTAGCAGCCTTCTACTTCATCTC